GGCAACCTGTTTCCAGATGTGCCAGCAACACAGCTCTTCCTGGGCGACGGGTTTTAGCGCCGTCCTCCTAAGAGTTGCCGCCTCACGTTGATCCCTGCCGCCTGTAAAGAGAGGGGTCGTGAGAGATGAGGGCAGGTTATGGAGAACTCCATACCAAGGGCACGGGTGAGACCGAATCAAACCAGAGCAAAGGTTATCTTGTTCTTGCAACATCACTTGTCATTTCCTCACGTTTCCATGGAGGTGGAGGCCAGGGTGGGATCAAAAGGCTCCAGACTCCTAAGCGTCGGGCGTGACCCATTTACAGACATCCGTCCCTTGTGTAACATGAGGGTACAGGGGCTGGAGAAATGGTTCAGCAGTTAAAGGGACTCGCTGATCTTCCAGAGGACTTGAGTTTGGATCCCAGTACCCACTGTAAGGGACTTACAGCTCCCTGTAACTCCGCCTGCAGGGACTCTAACTCCACGGGGACCATATACACGTGGTGGCATCATATAAACACAAACATTTTTTAACATTTAAAAAACAAAACAAAACAAAGCCGGGCATTGGTGGTGCATGTCTTTAATCCCAGCACTAGGGAGGCAGAGGCAGGTGGATCTCTGTGAGTTGGAGACGAGCGTGGTCGACAAGAGCTAGTTCCATGACAGGCTCCAAAGCTACACAGAGAAACCCTGTCTCGAAAAACAAAACAAAACAAAACAAAACAAAACCACAATCCCTATGGGCACAAAGACCATCTGTGCACCCATGCTCTAACATAACGACACCAATTAATAGCAATTCACCCCTTTTCCTTAGTAGTTATGCAAATGGGGTTCTATCAAATTTCAGTTAGAAAAGCTTCAGACTGTGTTAGGCCAGTGGGTAGGAGTAACAACGTGGGAGACTGGTGGCATGCGTCCTCCCAGGGTACCTACTTCTCCGGGCTTCTGTTTCCTTTAGCCAAAGCCTTTCTTCTGCTTCCAGTAGGGACACCATATCTGCTTTGGGGGGAAGGCACCCTAAGGAGAGACAGACACATATATTTAAGTTGAGCACAAAATGAAAACACGCTTGCGTCTAAATTTTACACAATCCTCAGCGCCTGTGATTTGAATTTTAGAAATGTTGATGATCTTATATTGTAGTGAGAAGCTGAGGGCTGGGCAGACAGCTCCGCGGCTAACAGCCCTTGCTCCGTGACCATGAGGACTGAGATTAGATCCCAGCACCCACGGGAGCAGGCCAGGCACAGTCTCCTGATAGCACATAATGTCTCTGGTGTTTGGGGGTAGACAGGATGATCACTGGGGTTTGCTGGCTGCCAACCACAGGTTTGGGAGGGACCCTGCCTCAAAGAAATAAGGCAGAGGGTGACAAAGGATGAGGCCTGATGAGCTCCATGTGCACACAGCACACACAGGCACCCATACACAAAGATTTGAAAGAAACTTCAAAAGTAAGTTAAAAAGAAATCAAGGCCATGTCTGTGCCTGGATGACAGAATCAGCTTCATTGGATTTTAACCATCTCTCATATGGAAACCATCAGGCTCTGCTGTGGCAGATGATCCATAACGGATTACGACATCCTATCCTCATCTACTCTATTGCAAAGAAAATACTGTGCCAGCTGGTGGTGACACACGCCTTTAATCCCAGCACTCGGGAGGCAGAGGCAGGCGGGTCTCTGAGTTGGAGGCCAGCCTGGTCTCCAGAGCGAGCTCTAGGACAGCCAGGGCTACCCAGAGAAACCTTGTCTCTAAAGAAAACAGAAAATACTACTATACTGCACCAAGTTTGTTTGCTTACCTATTAATGGGTTACAGGCATAATCAGAAAGACAAAGTACAGGGCTGGGGCATAATTCAGTGGTAGAGCCCCTGCCTAGAATCCCCCAGTGAGGGGCTGGGAGCGTGGCTCAGTGGTGGAGCCCCTGCCTAGAATCCCCCAGTGAGGGGCTGGGAGCATGGCTCAGTGGTAGAGCCCCTGCCTAGAATTCCCCAGTGAGGGGCTGGGGGCGTGGCTCAGGGGTTTCCTGGACTGAGGGCAGTAAGGGGCTAGGGGTGTAGCTCAGTGGTAGAGCCCCTGCCTAGAATTCCCCAGTGAGGGGCTGGGAGCATGGCTCAGTAGCAGACTCCTGCCTAGCATACACAAAGCCCTAGATTCTAGTCTCAGCAAAATCCAAAGTACTGAAGTTTAGCTGCTCATTTGCGGCTCATGTAAAACAGGGTTTCTCCCTGGCAGCATATGAATGGACACTCTGGATGGTAGATCATTCCGCCTTAGGAGCAGCCTTGTCCCTGACTACTAACTACTAAATGTCAGTGGCACCCATCCCTGAATTGTGAGAAACACACCCACTCTGGAATAATCCTTCCGTACGCTGTGACTATGTATTACTCTCATTGATTAATAAAGAAGCTGCTTGGCCTATATAGCAAGGCAGGATAAAGTTAGGCGGGACAATCAAACAGGACACCCGTCCTCACCCACGGCAACCAGGTTCTTGAAGGTCTCCAGCATCACGTCTTGGTACAGCTGCTTCTGCGTGGGGTCCAGCAGTCTCAGCTCTTCTCTTGTAAACACCAATGCCACATCCTTGAATGTCACTGCTTCCTGTGATGCCAAACACAAGTGACCTCAATCCAGGCCCCATGGAAGAGAACACGGTCACACTAGTGTTACAGAAGATTCTGGGGGGGGGGGGGGGGGGGGGGGC